GTGGACCAGAGCCGGAACTACATCAGTAACTCGGCCCAGAGCAACGGGGCGGTGGTGAAAGAGAAGGCCCCGGCTGCTCCCAAGACGCCCAGCAAGGCCAAGAAGAACAAAGACAAGGAGTACTACGTCTGAGCCCCGGCACCGCGCCCCACTGCCAACTGCCCCTCCCGGGACGGCCCGGGAGGGGGGTGCGGCCCTCTCCCTGCCGGGGCTCTGGGGACCCGCTCCCCGACTGCCTCAGACTTCTCTCACGAAGAGGAAACGCAAAAAAAGAGAAAAAAGAAAGAAAAAAAAGGGAAAAAAGAACGAACGAAAGAAAAAAAAATGAAAAGAAAGAAAAAAGAAAAAAATAGCAAAGGAAACCCCGTGCTCGTCCCCTTCCTCCTGCCGTCCAGTGGCGGCGCGGTCAGTCCTGGGGCTGTCTGTCCCTCTCAGCTCTGCGCCCGCCCCCGGGCAGGGCACGTGCTCACAGCCCTGGGTTGATTTATTTTTTTAAGGGGGGGTAGTTTTATTTTGGTGGGGTTGGGCGGGAAGGAAGGCTGGGGTTTTTGTAAAGTGTCCACTACTCGTCCTGTTCATTTCCTCCATTTTTCTTCTTCCCTCTGTCCCTCCTGCCTTCCTTCTCTTCCCAAGCCTTCCAGCCCCCATCCCAGGCTTGCTGCGTCTCTCTGTCCCCACCCTCCCTCTCCACTTCTTTTTTGTGTCTCCCTTTCCTACCTTTGGGTTTGCAGAGTCGGTGGGAGAAGGGCGGGCGGGTGGGCCGAGCGGCCCAGCGTTGGGGGGGAGGGAGCGGGGGCGGGGCGGGGCAGTGGGGTGCCCCCCCAAGCGCCCGGACTCTGCCGACCAGGAGGAGGCGCTGGCCTGGTGCCGCCCAGGGAAGGGGCTGGGCGGGGAAAGGCCTGTTCTATTGTGTGCCGCCGGGCGACGTGCATTGATGGGGAAGCTGCTGGAGGAGCAGGGGTCGGGGGGCGGGTGGGAGGGGAAAGGCAAATGCAGATATATATTAAAGACAAATTATCTAGATACCCGAGCAGCAGCCTGTGGCACCCGTTGGGCGCGGGCACCAGGGAAGAGAGAGCCGGGCGTTGCCCGCTGACTGCTGGGGTCACTTCTCTGCCCACGGGCTCCCTGCTCCCCCAGTTTTTTTTCTCTCTTTGTTAACAAATGTGTCTGAGTCTTGGAAAACACCCCAACCCCGGAAATGTGTGGGAAAAGAAAACAAAAACTTTCCAAATCCAACGGTCCTGTGCAGTTTTTGGGGGGTGGGTACTGTTGGGACATCGGTCCTGGCTCTGGGCTGGGGTTTGGGCCCAAATTGCGGCCTGTGAGAGCTGGTAAGTAGCGTCCAGAGTTTTGGGCTGAGCATGGTTTTGGGCTCCTGGGGGCGGCCTTTGTCTCACCCCCATGTACCTCCTGGCCGGAGGGTGGGGCTGGAGAACCGCTAGGTGGCCTGGTGGAGCCCACCCACCCCCGCGAGTCAGGACAAATCCCCAGAGGCAAGGCCGTCATGTTGCCCCCTAGTGGCTAAGGTGGGTCTATGCCTCTGGGGGCCGCTTGTGCGCGGGTCTTACAAGGGCGCTGGCCTTGCTACAGGCCCGGGGAAGGTGGTGTTACTCCAGGGCGACAAGAGCTTCAGAGGCTGAGTCCACATTTACCCCCAGTGCTGCCTAACTTGAGTCTCTGCTTATTCATCTCTAAGGATTTGGACTCTGTGATCTGCAGGCCCCCCCCCCCCCCCCCCCCCCAGTCCATGCGGGCTGACCGTGGGTAGCTCCTGGGCCTGCAGAACCTCATCCCTGGGTGTTTGCTCCTTCCTGGAGACACTGAACAGGCCCAGGGTCCCAAACACGCTGAGAGGCCAGTCTGTATTTGCTAAGCTGCTCGGTGGCAAGGAGTAGAAACTCTTGAGGCGAAGGTTGTAGTGAGGACCCGAATGTGCGGACGTTCTCAGGGGAGCAGAGTGTGGGTGGTCTTCATCTCCCAGCTGGCTGTGGTGGATTGCCACGCCACTGGACACATGAGCCGTGACTCAGCCACGCTTCTGCCACTCAGGTCTCCTCCACTTTGTGCTGGATGGGTCTCCCTCTGCTGGCTCCGCTTTCTCGTGCCGTTGGCTCGCCATCACCCTTCACCACTTGGATCTCTTTGCGAGCTTCCATCCACAGGTGGCTCTGTTGCCGGCCAGCTCATTCTTGCGGCATTTTTTGCGGCATTTTCCAGCTCACAAGCCTGGTCCATGTTTAGGCCTGGACACCTCTCAGGGTCCCTGGGCTGCACGTCCACAGGAGACCCTCCCTCTCCTTCCTTCCGTCCTGGAATGAAGCTTTTGTTTGAAGATCCTCCTTACCCTGGGGTGTTTCCCCAGGGACCTTTGAGAGCTCTTCCCCAGACTCTTGTCATTGGTGAGATAGTGGGTTCTCTTGTAGCCGCCCCCAGGTGTGGATTTCCATAGACTTGGCCTCGCCTTGCCCTCCTGAACCAACCACCTGGGGGAGGCATGGGCTCGGCTCGTCCCCCACTGCTCACAGTGTTGGAACCTGAGGTCAGCTCTAACCCCCTGTGGAAGCCTGGGGTGGGGGGGGAGGCCCTGACTCGGGGCAGTCTTGCCAGGACATCCTGTCCATGTACCAGTGACGACCTTGCTCCCGGGCCTTCTGCTACTGCTCTCTCCGTCCAAGGGATGGAAGCATCTCAGGTTCCTCTGCCCCATCACCACTAGCCAAAGAAAATAGAGGCAGGCAGGAGTTCTGTGAGGCCAAGAAGGGAACATTCTTTTCTAGAAATTTCTAGAAAGGTCCTGAACAGTCTGTCAGAGTAGAGGACCGGAAATAGGGACAATGCAGGAGTTGGAAGGAGAGGCCCCAGTCCTGCTCACTGCCATGTGGCTGTAGGACTGAGGGCTTTTCCTCTCTGTGTCAGGAGGCTAAGAGCTCCTCTCACTCGAGGGCTTGGTTGTAAGAGGAAAGATTTCTGGACTCTACCATTGACTCAGTTTAGCCATCTGTGAGATATGGTCACCTCAGTCTCAGCTCCTTCGTCTGGGCATCTGATGTTGAACTTAACACTGGGCCTGAGCTGAGCTTCTTGAGGTCTGGCTGGCCTGGCAGTGACCCCCAGGAGTGTGCAAACAGCAAAGGGGTGGACTGAAATTCCAGGAACCTCACTCTTTGACACTTGGTACTTGCAGGGATATGTCAGGAGATTCCACCTGGGGAGGATCAAGGACAGAGTTGGGGCGGAAGCTCAAAGTGGAGTCTAGCTGATACCTTGGCCTTGACGACCACACAGCCCCGCCCAGGGGAGGGAACACAAGCTCAGCCAGGGCTGGGATTCCTCTGGGAGGACATCCCTTTCCTGGAGGTGGATATGGAGCTGAAGGAGCCTGCATTGCCCTCCCCACATACCCTTCTGGGAGAGCTGCAGATCTGGCTGGAGACAGGAGGATGGCCAGGGAGGGTCCTGAGCCACTTTCCTGTCCCCACTGCCCCTCTCCCGCCATGGGAGGGAATGAGACTGTAGAGTAGTTGATGGCTTCTTCCTTCCCACACCCAGTTCCCTTGGCTCTTCCATTGCAGGGTGCCCCTGCTGCCTCTGGGGTCAGGAGCTCCCTGTGGTGTCCCAAGTGAAGGCCTGCCATTTGGGTGGTGGCGCCCAGCTGGAAAGCGGGCCTTTGACTGCTGCCAAGAGTGCCCCCTCTCCCTTTGCAGGGCATCCACTCAGCCATGGTGATGACACCACCTAGCTGCCCGAGAGGGGCAGGGCCCTGGACCCTCCCAGCTTCCAGGTCCCGTTGAGTTCAGTGAGTTCATGTTGGAAGCAGGTAGGTCCTGGGTTCTAGAAGACTGGGACCCCCTGGAAGGGCCAGGAGCCAGGCTGCTCTGAATGTGGGCAAAGGGATAGCTCTGACCACGTGGCGAACTGGAGAACACTCTAGGGGAGAGGAGGAGCCATCTCTCACCAGCCCTGGGTTCTCTCTTCTGGAAGCTTCTGGACACCAGGGGGCCCTAAGAATGCTGAGCAAGGGTAAGAAAGTAGCTGGGGCTCATCTGGGCAGCGGGCAGACGGGACCAAAAGTTCAGGGCAGGCTGAGACAACCTTGCCTTTGGGCAACTTTATAAACATGATCCCCACCCCCACCCCCCTTGTCCTGGGGGTCTTCACTGAGGGGCGGCCACAGGCAGGCGCCTGAAAGACATGATCCCACCCCCTCACCCCCCACCAAGAGGCCGAGGGGCTGTGGCGGGTAAGACCAGGCCAGTGAGTGATCCTGTCTCCCAGGGGCAAGGAGCAGCTTTCTGTTTTCCCATTCATCTTCTCCTGTGTGTACCCACTACTGATGCGGGGGGTGGGGGGGGGACACAGCCCTTTGCGGAGGTGCCCGGAAGCAGTGACACAGGCAGAAGCAGAGACCACCTGAGCACAGCTCTGGGGCGGCTCAGCAGATCAGCAGCTGGTGGGGACCCCGATGGGCCACAAATGGCTTCTGCCTGCACCCGCACTTGTGTTAGGGGAGCTTGGGCGTCCGTCCCTTTCCATCTGAGCCCCTGCCCAGAGTTTTCCTGTAAGGGGTGCCGGTGGACTCCGCGGGGTCCCGGCTGGTTCTGAGAGCGAGGCGCCTGACTCGAGAGGCATCACTGGCTGCCCAGTTGTGCGGCCGGAGGGGCAGGGGGTGTCGTAGCCAGGGCTGGGCTCTGGAGACCGGGGCTGGGCTCTTGATTCTGCCCCTCTGAGCTGCAGGTCATGGGCAGTTGGTTTCTCTGAGCCTTACTTTCCCATCTGTAAAATGGGCTGTCTTCCTTGAAGGGTTTGGGAGAAGATAAGATGATGCCTTGAGGCATCCAGGGTGGTGCCTGGCCCACAACAGAGGCTGGAAAGGGCAGACACTCTGGCCCCGGCCTTCAGGGCAGGAAAACCCGCCTGGGAAAGGGCCAGCCCCTTGAGGGGTTCCCCAGAGCTCTCCCTGCCCCCACTCCCACCCATGGCTCATCCCTGGAGTCAGCGAGGGGCTGTCATGTGTTCCTTTATTCACTCTTTTGTCTCCCCCTCACCAGTGCCCCTCCTGCCAGGCTCTGTGTGGGAGCTGGGGTCAAGGGGTAAGCGGCCACCCCAACCCTCTGGGAACTCCGAGGCCAGAGTGTGGGAGTCAGGTGTGGGGCCATGGCTGTGGGTAAGGGTTTCATTATGTCCTTGGGCTGGGCCCTGGGCCCTGGGTCTGGGAGGGACTTTGTCAGGTAGAGAAGGGACGGGGAGGATTGGTCCTTGGCTGGAATGTGGAGAGAGGGGGGACTGGGGGCCTTTGGGGAATGGCTGAGGAGCTGAGACTTGTGTGGGGCTCTCAGGGCAGTGTGAGGAGCTGGGGAAGATTTGACCGTGGGTGGTGGTGGCCTCCGAGCTCGGGGGGGCAGTGGGCAGCTAGGGGCCGTGAGCAGTGAGGAGGGGAGCAGGGGTAAACAGGTTCCTGTGGGTCCCTGCTCCTTCTCTCAGTCACGAGGGAGGGTCCCGTGAGGGTGCACGGGGCAGCCCCCAGCCAGTGAAGCTGTCCTCTGGCCCTTTCTTTGTTGAAGGTGGCTCCTCAGGCAGAGAGGGGCAGCCTCTTCTAGAAGAGGGGCCCTCTTCTAGAGATGGGGGCCTTTGCCGTCCTGCCTTCTCCAAAGGAGAGAAGGTGCTCCTCCCAGCGTCGCCTCGCAGAATTCCCGGGAGGCTTAAAAGTGTGTGGATTTCAGGACAGTGGGCCCTGGGGTGCTGCGCGTTGCCTTCTTTACCGCCCTGTTCAGACATGAAAGATAAGAGGGTTGTTCTCGTGGGTGCAGCGTGACCTCTGACCCCTGCACCGTGTCTCTCCTGAGGACTCAGGAGATACTGCCCAGGAGCCCAGGAATGAGCTCCCTGAGCACGTGCTGGGGAGGGCGTGGGCAGTGACAGAGCTGCCGGCCATCAGGGGCTTCATCGGGAGAGTCTGGGGCCTGTGAGCGCCCCAACAATGCCCATCACAACCTCGGCCCTCCCCCTTCCGAAGGTCTATGCACTTCCTTCCTCTTGACTTCTCTTAAGGTGGAGTGGAGGGTGGCCCAGCTCTCTGGGCCTCAAATGGTGGCATGAAGGGCAGGAGACCAAGCCCACACAGTCAGCCAGGAGACCCAGCCTTTGGGCTCCCCTCTCCCACAGATGTACGGTGTGACTCCGAGCCAGGCCTGTCCCTCTCTGCACCCCTGTTCTCCCTCTGCCCAGCAGCGGGGGGCTCGGGGGGGACCAGGCCTGCCCTACTCCAAGCTTCCCTGGAGGGACAGAGAGGGGGTTCCCGGGGCAGAGTTCACTCACTGGTTCTGCACATCCTGAATGGTGTCGGGCAGCGGCAGGCTCTGAGTCTCTGGGAGCAGGAGGGCAGCCAGGCCACTAAGGACTGGCACCCCCCCGTACACCAGCAGGGGCAGCCAGCGGCCGTGGACAGCCAGCAGCCGGACCAGAGGCCCCAGGATCGCTCCCCCTCGGGCTGCCATCTGGCCCAGACCCACCGCTGTCATCCTGTCGTTGCAGACACACCAGTGAGGGGCCCCTCTGCCTGCCCACTGTGGCTTTGACCTCCCAGCCCCTACTCTGTCCAGGATGGCCCAGTGGTTCAGGCTGAGCCGGGATGCTCCTGGGTGGCCCTGAGACCACATGGAAGGGAGATGGCGGTGGGGACATCCGAGGCTGGGGAAGGCCGCCCCCGCCCTGCCCTCCCAGCTCTGGGCGACCCCTCACCTGAGCACGGTGGGGAAGAGCTCACCGGTGTAGATGCTGACGCAGGTGAAGGCGGCCCCCAGGCCCCCGAGCCCCAGCACGGCCAGGGCTGAACGCAGGGCCCCCATCTCTGTGGACAGAGATGGGGTTATTGAAGTTGGTGGCAGGGGCCCCGAGGTCAGATGGGGGTTCTCTCCAGCCTAGACCTCTCCCTGACCTCCCAATGTCTGTGACTCAGCTCCACCTGGGTGTCCCCAGAGCACATCCCGAGTGACCTCATGGCTACATTCACCGCCCCCAAATTGCCACCCAGCCTGACACCTGGAGCCAGACCCTGGGAGACCTCCTTGGCCCCCTGCTCCCCACCTTCCCCCTGCACTCCGGCTCTGAGCCTTATTTTATCTCCACAGTTTGTCACGAAGCCACCCCTCCACACCATCCCTGCTCATTGCCTGCTGCAGGCCACCACCATCTCTCCCGGAGGCCCCGCAGCCTCCTTCCTAACTGGGCCCCTGCTCTGGTCCAGCGCCCTCTGAGGAGCGGGCAAGGGCCTCTGTTCCTGGCTCAGTGCCCCCAGGTAGGGAAGCCTCGGGCCACAGCCGTGCGCACCCAGGCCCGCGTGCTCACCGTAGGGCACCAGCGTGTTGGCCAGGATGCAGAGCCCTGACAGCACCAGGGACCCCACCTGGGCGGGCCGGCGGCCCAGACGGCTCAGCAGCAGCAGGGAGCCTATCTTGGCCGGAATGTCCACGACCCCAATGAGGACCTGGAGCAGGAAGATGTTGCTGTCTAGGGCCTGCAGGTCCAGGGCCAGGCCGTAGAAGGTGAAGCCAAAGGCGAACCTGCGGGGTGGGGCCGGGGGAGTCAGGCGGGGGGGTGGGCTGCTCATTGGCTCCTTTGTTCTCAGACCCATCTCCACCTTCCTCCTGCAGGCTCTGTGTAGGGGAGGGGTGGTCTCCAGACCACCTTTCCCTGGGCTCCCTGTCAATGCTGCCCGTCGAGAGGTTTGGCCAATGGGAGGCACAGGTGAGAAGTGCAGGTGCACCAGGGGGGCAGTGGGGAGGAGGGGGAAGGCCAGGATATTCCCACCTCCCTCCCTCTGGGTGCCGCCTCCCCTCCATGGCTACGGCTTCTACTGAGCGTGTCCTTCCTCCGTGGCCTCAGCGGTTCCAGTCCTTGCTGGGTGGCCCTGGTGCCTGGGCTCTGATAACCCCCTCCCTCCTCCCTGGCCCCTCCAGATGGCGGCGGGCACGCTCCTCCTCAGCGGGCTGGGCACTTCAGCTCTCCCGGGGCCTTTGCTGTGACTCCTCCCATCTCTCCCGCTCCCCCGCCCGCGCCCCCCCCAGCCTGGGCTGCTTCCTTTGGGAGCCTGACTGCTACTAGAGGGGAGGTGACCGTGCTGCACGCCCTGTCCTGGAGGTGCTGTCAGGACCGTGGGACGGACAGGGGAGTCATTAGAGGCCCCTTGACTGGATGCCAGCCAGAGCCCTGATTCCAGGGTCCCCGGGGGCCGGCGACAGCCCAAGGCAGGCCAGAGGCAGAGGCTGGGGCCCCGGGCGGGGTTCAAGGGGCATCTACCAGCACAGAGTGGAGATGCCGGTCCGGAGGGGCAGCCCAGGCGTGCAGAAAAGGGCACCCAGCCTGGCGGGGGCCTGGCCCACACTCAGCTCCTCCTGCATGGCTGAGAGTAAGGCCTGCGGGGGGCGGGGGGGGGGGCGCCCTGTCAGCACTGGGAGCACTGGACCCACACTCCTCCCTCTGACCCTCCTCCTCCCAGGGGCCCAGTGCGGGGGCAGGGAGAGGGTCTGAGGATTGGCCTCACCTCGGTGGTCAGCGTGCCCTCCACCACCCTCTTCCTGTTGATGACAGCCACCCTCCGCAGCTCCCGCAGGCCCCGCTCCAGCCTGCCTGTGATGAGGAGCCATCGGGCCGACTCTGCCAGCCACCTGCCAGGGTTCAGAGGTGGAAATGGGAGGGGGCCCTGCCTGTGGCCCCCAGGGCCTGGCCTGCACGAGCCTCACTGCCCTGTCTCCTGCCCCCGGGGGCTGGCCTCACTGGTGCCCACAGGCCCCAGGCTCAGGGAGGCCACGCCGTTTGACACCCTCCTTCCCCAACAGGCCACCCTTTCTGCCTTCTTCCTTCTCCCTCTCGGATTGTGCTTGGGAGGCCCAGTCCTCCCCTTCCTGCCCCCCTCCCGACCTGGTGGCCTTTCCCTTGCCTCACTTGGAAGCCAGGCCCAGGTGACCTCGTGTGCAGTAAGGACCCCCCAGTGGTCACGGGATGGCAGGCACCCCAGGGTCCCCTCCTGTCCGGCGCCTCCCTGCTGTCACACTGTCTTCCTGCTCACCCTCAAGGCTGCACCTTCCTGCTTGAGCTGGCTCCTCCTCCAGAGCCCCTCCTTGCAAACAGCTTCACACCCAGCAGGGTCTTTGGTCCTGACATCACCAGCCCCCTCCACCTGCACCCAGTCAACCACCAATTCCTGTCACTTCCAGTATCCCTTGCATCTGACCCGCCCCACTGCCCTTGCCTCACTTTTGACCCTGTGGCCCATGCCAGGATGCTAGTTGGCCCAATGCATCTCAGTTCCCCCTTCTCATGCTGGGACCCAGCCCGTAACACTAACCTGGCCCCCGCCGCCCTCCACATTAGCCCAGACCGCTTGCACTGGCCCAGCGCACCGAGTCCCCTGTCATGCCCACTACCCTACACAGGTTCCTGCCTCCAGCCAGCCCCCCCCCTCCCCCGCCCAGCCAGGCCCCCTCTCTCCTATGAGCAGCAGCTAGGGGTGGGGCCTCCTGCTCCTCGTGCACAGGGCCCTGAGGTCCTTCAGGGTTAGCAGAACCAGGGAGAGAAGGGGGACTCAAGGTACACGTTAGAGGTAGAGTTGACAAGACCCAGTGACCTGCTGGACTTGGGGTGGGGGGACGGGGAGGGACGGGGAGGAGGTGTCATGGCAACTCTGACTCTGGGACCCGGTGGGTGGGGGCTGCTATCCATGCTGGGGAAGCCTCGGGAAAGAGCAAGTGCAGGAGATGTTACATTTGGGATGCCAAGACCCCCGTCACGGAGATGTCACAGAGAGGGTGGGAAATGGGAGGCTGGAGGCCGGGCAGAGGCAAGACCCAGGAGGTGACTCAGGGTCTGTAGCACGTGGGGGGAGTCAGAGCCGGGGGACAAGTTATGTGGCCTGAGAGAGAGCGGGAGGCCAGCATCGGCCTCAGACAGCCAGGAGGGGTGCCCTGGACTCCGCATCATTGACCTTTGCCCTCCACCCTCCTGCCTCCACTCTGTTGGTACCGGGGGGTCGGTAGGCAGAAGGCTACCTGTCAGACAGGACTGTCTCCTCTCTGAGCCAGTGTACCAGGTGTTGCTGTCTCCTGCTCTGGAGAGTGACTGCAAGTTAGTTGCTCAAGGCTCCATTTCAAGAGCTTTTGGCTCTATCCTGTTGGGCTCGGAGAGGGCTGTGAGTCAGCCCTCCTCCCAGTGCGGGAGTCCCGTCCTCCCCTGGGCTTCTGCTGGGCTTCCCTCTGCAGTGACCACAATGGCCAAGCAACTCCTAAGTTGCTGGGTCTGTAGGTGAACGAGCCAGGTTCAGCTCTGTCCTGAAGTGCATCCATCCATCCACCCATCTATCCATCCGTCCATCCATCCATCCCCTCCAACTACCCATCCACTCAGTAGTTTATCATCTATCTATCTATCTATCTATCTATCTATCTATCTATCTATCTATCTATCTATCATCTATCTATCCATCCATCCATCCATCCGTCCATCCACCCATCCAGGTAGCCATCCAACAAATATTTACTCTGCACCTACTATGTCCCAGGAGTTTGGCAAGAGCCAGGCCTGAGGGCTGTGTATTTGAGGGCAGTGCAGATGTTCCCTAACCTCCCCCATATGTCAGCCCTGTGGGGAGGCCAGGAGTCCCCTCTGACCACTGGGTCTTGGTCCCTGTTCTTTAGTAATAACGTCAGTACGGAAGGCTAGCCGGGGCTGTGTGTGTGCGTGCGCGCTGTATCTTTGCATCTCACCCCACACGCACCAAAGCAAGCAAAGTCTCGAGAGGGAAAAGGGCCAAGAGGTGATGGGAAGGAAGGGGTGGGAGAAGGATGAGTAGAGGAGGAGGCACCTGGGAGGAGCAGGGAGGGGAGCAGCCCCGCGGGCACTTGGGTGAGCCTCGTGGGCCTGTGGCGGCCCCCTGTGCCAGGGCCCTGGGCCTCCCCTCCCTGCTCCCGGCCTCCTGCACCCCCCACCCCCTGCTCCCAGGGTGGAGAGTAGGCAGGTCTTCTCTGAGGCGGGGGCATGGCACACACCAGGAGTACACAAAGCAGAGGAAGAAGGGGGCAGAGACCACCAGCTGCAGCAGGGCCCAGTCCCGCACGCCATAGGCCACGGCTGCCATCAGGACCTGGCCGAAGCTGAAGCCCAGGGAGTTCAAGGTCATCGCCAAGGCTCGGGCGCACGCCGATGTCCACTCCATCACTGCAAGGAGACCACAAGGGTCAGCCGGGAGCCTGCGCCAGCCTCCCTCGCAGGGCCCAGGTCAGGTGACCTACGGAGCGTGCCGGTGTTCATCATGACGCCCGCCACGCCGAAGGCCGCCAGGAAGCGGAACAGGCAGTACACGGGGAAGGTGGGGGCGAAGGCGGCGGCCGTGCCCGACACGGCCATCTGAAGGTAGTTCCAGGTCAGCACCAGCCTGCGCCCAAACCTGCGGGCACACGGACACACAGACGGTGTGGCTGGGAGCGCGGCGTGCCACGGCCCCAGCCACAGGGCTCTGGACCCCCCTGGGCTTGCCCGTTGAGCAGAGGCGAGAGTGACACCTGCGTCCGGCCCTGAGTTATCCACCCACGGAAGGCTTGGACGCCCAGGCAGTGTCCCCAAGGTCCAGGCAGCTGGAAGGTGCGCTGGGCAGAGAAGGAGTGCCCTGTCAGCGGGAGTCTTCGAGCAGCATCTGAAGGCAGGCTTGGGGCTGAGCAGATTTTAGCAGTGAACGCTGGATGGGACGGATGACCCTCTCCAACCCCAGAGGAGCCCTGGGGGGAGCCAAGGCCCAGAGCGGGTCTGAGGCTTGCTCCGCGGCAGAGCTGGATGGTGTCAGGAGTGAGGGCGGCAAGATGCCAGGGCTGTAGGAGCGCAGGGGTGCGAGGAAAAGGGTGCTGCCAGAGCCGGGGGCACTCACCTGTCGGAGATGTGGCCGCACACCGCAGCTCCCACCAGGATCCCAGACAGGTAGATGGACTGGGCCATGGGCTTTAGGGCGTGGGAGTCACACACCAGGTCCCACTGGGGGGAGAGGAGTGGGAGCTGAGCCCAGAGGTGAGGGGGCGGAGGCGCTGGATGGGAAGGCCCGTGGGAGCTAGGCGAGGGTGGATGGCCTGGTGACCTCTAGGGTGGTAGGACCGGGCTGTCACCCTGTGGCCCTCTGGTCCAGGGTCAAGCCCGCTCTAGACTCATCCGCTCTCCCCTGCCTCACCCACTCGGCAGCGCCACCCTGAGCTGGTGCTTGGTCACCACTCCCCCAGGCCTCTCTGGTTCTACAAAGAGGCCCCTTCCCCTTGCTGGGATGGGCAGCCCCTCCCTCTTGCCCAGATTTGCCTGATTGGCCCCCCAGGGGTCGCCTGCCCCCAGACAGGAGGTGGAACTGGGCTCCGAGCTTGGGCGGCGGAGAGGGGAGCTGCCTGAGTCACAGCTAATCAGGGGCAGCCCGGCCGACCTGGCTGTCCAGGGCCCCAGCTCTCGGTACCACCCACCCTTCCACAAGCCCGAGTCCTGCTGCTGACTCGCCCCCACCCCGGGGTGATGTCCTGGAGGAGGGGGCCTGTCGAGGCGGGTCCCTCCCAGGACTGGGCCATTCTGAGTCCAGTCAAATGTGAGTTCTGACCTTGGCCTCTAAAGCGCCAGGACTTGGGGAAGGTGTCAGGAGAGGCTCTTACCTTGGAGACGATGGTGGAGGTGAAGGTGCTGCGGTCGTAGACCCAGCCGTCCATGCACGGCTCTGTGGCAGCCTCGCTCCAGTTGGTGGCCGTGGCGTTGGGGTCCAGGAGCTGCCACTGTGGTTGGCGGAAGCGGCGACACTGATGGGGCTCATGGTTGGGGCCCGGGGGGATGGAGACGGTCAGGAGGTCCTTGGGGCCCAGGGCCCCGGGGACACTGGCCTGGGCAGTGCTGTTGTCCAGGAGGGGTACCCAGCATCGGTGGCTGGGCACGGCGGCCGAGAAGTTCTCCAGCATGCTCTGAGTGGTGAGCCACACGATGGGGACCACCAGAGCCACCATCTGGAGAACCTGGAACCTGCCCAGGCCACCCACTTGGTCCAGGAGTTCAGAAAATGCCATGGAGCCCACCTGGGGGGCCCCAGTGGAGGTGCCCACTTCACAGAAGCTGGCCCGGGGCAAAGGGGCCGACGGGGGGGCCCTGCTTCCCCCACAGCAGCACCTGCTTCTCTGGCCGAGAAGCCTGGAGCGGGGCAGAGGCCACCGCCCTCGCCGGCACCGGGCTCTCCAGGTGTCTGTCCAGCAAAGGTCACTCAGGTTGGCTCCATCCGGGACCAGGAGCTGTGAGGCGTGACCCTGAAGCCACCAGCATCCTTCCAGACGCAGCTGGCCCTGGACCTCCAGGAGAAGCTGGTTACAGGAGGTGGGGGAAGTGGAGACTGAAGCCACCCAGACTGGAATTAAACTGTGACCAGGTGACACTTACAGAACAGGGGTTAGGAATCAGTCAAAGTTTAACCCAGCTCGGAGGGAGGCCCAGAGGTCAGAGCACAGCTGTTCCTGCCCGGCGGGGAGGCCTGGCCAGGGGCACCTGGTCTCTGATGGGTGTGGGGGGGCTTTGGCAGGGCTGCCACCCCCCTCGGCACCCCTGCCCGCCTCACAGGGGGACTCTCCAGGGCTCACGCAGGAGACCGCTGGCCGGGGTTCTTACTGATCCTGGGACTGGCGTGAGCCAGGAGCGACACCTGTAGGCTGCGAGGGCCTCCGTGTGCGCGCGCGTGTGCGTGTGTATGTGTGTGTGTGTGGCCTGGGCCTGAGTCCTCGGTGGCAGCCATCTGCACCCCCACCTCCCCGCCGGTGCGGCCCTGCCCCCCCAGCCCCCGCCCTCTGTTGTCTGCCGCCACTCATCCCCAGCTGGCACGACAAGGGCCGCCTCCTCCAGGGGGCTCTGCTGGCTTATTCTTGCCTCCTTCCTGGGCTCTAAGTCAGGAGTGGAGCCCCATCTTTGCACTGACCTGCACCCTTCTATTATTGTCTGGCTGGTCGCATTTCCAGCCAGGTCCTGGAGGGCAGGGACCCTTCCCTAGAGCATCTTTGGGACCAGCACAGATGTGGACAGCAGGTGCAGGCGCTGTTAAAATTTGCTCCAGCTGGTTTTAACAGCAGCTTCTATTTTTTTTTTTCCGGAGTATAAAATTAACGCACATGTTTTCCAGAAATTTCAGAAAATATGGAAAGGTACAGAGAAAACAAAGATCAGTCCTAAACTCACCAACCAGTGACCGCCACTGTTGACACTTGGGTGTAAATACTTCTAGAGTCTGCTCCGGTCATTGGCACGTTCAGCTTCCTCATTCTGGGTTGCAAGCCAAGCTTAACGTCTCCTTTTGTAAAACCCAAACAGAAAGGCTCTGCCTTTAGCTGGCGATTCTAGCCTGTTCACATTTATTGGAATTACTGTCATGCGTGGACTTCCGGTATGTTTTCTTCTTTGCTGTATTTTCCCTTTACATCTTTGTTTCCTTGTTCCTATTTTCTATGGAACCCACTGCGTTTTCTTGCTGTATATTTCTTCTGTCCTGGTTTGGTGATGGTGCATTGCATTTCTGTTAGCCTTCTATGGGAGCATACCCTTCCAGAGCTATTTTATGTCCCCTTCTCCTTCATCCTCTCTCAAAAGATGTCCTTTCTCCTCATTTCACTAAGGAAATAGAAGTCATCAGAAGCCAACAGTCTCGTTCTCTGACTTGCCTCAGCCCCCCCCCCCCCGTTCTGCCTTCGCTCCTGCCACCTCCATGGCCCACATGCTCCTCCTCATCATGGCCTCCTCGCCGTGTGCCCTGCAGCCCACCTCTCCACCTCAAGCCTCTTTGGCATCTGTCTTTCCCTCCCTACTGGATAGTTCCCACCAATGTACACATATGCGAGTTTCCGGGGTGCCTGGCTGGCTCAGCTGGAAGAGCATTTGACTCTTGATTTCGGGGTCGTGAGTTCGAGCCCCACGTTGGGGATAGCGGTTACTTAAAAAAATAAGTAAATTAAATTAAATTAAGAAAAAAACCAAATATGCCATTTCCGTCCCAATCCTCAGAAAAGTCCCCTCCCTCTTAATGCCTCTCTTCGGCACCCACCTCTTTTCCTGCTACTATTTCTAGTACAATCCCACAAAAGTGTTACTGGCATTCACCTCCAATTTCTCTCTTCACATTCTTTTTTGGATTGATTCCCATGAAGTTTTTGTCCCTGTTGCACCCCAGTCCGCAGTGAGCTCACTGCCACTGCATTCAGTGACTTTTTCAGGGCTCCCCTTACTTGAGCCAGCACAGCCTCTGGCCCTCCTCCTTCTGGAAGTCACTTCCCTGGGCCCACGCCCTCTGCACCTGCTTCTGTCTTCTTCACTGGTTCCTTCTCTTCCCTGCACACTCCCAGTCCTTGGTCCTCTTCTCTATTGTTGGCACAATTCACATCTTCAAGGATCTCTCCTTGCGAGGCTCAGCTTTAATCCAACCGCCTAAGCTTGGGGGTCTTTTGGAATAACTTTCTAGGCCCCAGGTGGAGCCCCACTCCTGCCCCGGGGGCACTGTGTCAGCAGACTGCAGGTGGGGGCCTGGGAAACCTGGCAGAATCTGGCAAAGGGTGAGAATTCTTTTTTTTCTCTCTTTTTAAACTTAAATTCAATTAACTAACAGATAATGTGTTACCGGTTTCAGAGGTAGAGGTCAGTGATTCATCAGTTGCATATAACACCCAGTGCTCATTACATCACGTGCCCTCCTTAATGCCCATCACCCAGTGACCCCATTCCCCCACCACCTCCCCTCCAGCAACCCTCAGTTTGTCTCCTGTGATTAAGAGTCTCTTATGGTTTGTCTCCCTCTCTGATTTTGTCCTGTTTTCTTTATTTTTTTTTTTTTTTAAGATTTTATTTATTTATTTGACAGAGAGAGACAGCGAGAGAGGGAACACAAGCAGGGGGAGTGGGAGAGGGAGAAGCAGGCTTCCTGCTGAGCAGGGAGCCCGATGCGGGGCTCGATCCCAGGACCCTGGGATCATGACCTGCGCTGAAGGCAGACGCTTAACGACTGAGCCACCCAGGCGCCCCTGTCCTGTTTTATTTCTTCCTCTCTTCCCCTATGATCCTCTGTTTAGTTTCTTAAATTCCGCATATGAGTGAGATCATATGATAATTGTCTTTCTCTGATTGACTTGTTTCACTTAGCATAACACCCTCTAGTTCTATCCACGTCGTTGCATCTGTTGTTGGACATCTAGGCTCTTTCCATAGTTTGGCTACTGTGGACATTGCTGCTTTAAACATTGGGGTGCAGGTGCAAAGGGTGGGAATTCTTACCAGAATCAGCTCTCCCGGATCTTTGTAGAGCCCTGTCGAAAAGTAAGGTAAGATTCCACATTGCCCCTTCCTTTCCAACTCCAGACTCTTGTGAATTCAGGTTCGCAGTGGTTGTCCATCTTTTCTCTCCCGGGGACAGCTATAGCCTCCTTGTCTGTCTGGTTTCGTGTCCCGAGGACTTGCTTGACCTCCTGTCTACAAGGGGCCTGCAGATTATCAGTTCTTACATATGCAGGCAGCTCAACATTGGGTTGGGGGCCCCGAAATGTGACCGGACAGAAGTGTGGGTTGCACCCCATTTGCAGCTAGGGTCTTCCCGCCTGTTGCCAGCTCTCAGGGAATTTGTCTCAGTCCTCTTTCTTTTGGCCACCTTTGGGAGTGGCTCTGGACCTTGGGAGGGTGCTATCTTTTGCACCCTCTCTGGGGACACCTCTTGCATCCCTGGAGCCCGTCCATACTGCCAGGAATCTTTACTCTTTGCTCCCACTGCAACTTAACAAGGTGTTTGAAAGGATTAAAAAGTAGCTCTACGGTCAGAAGTTGGTCACACTGGAAGCTGATATTCAGAGCGGGATAGGAACTTTTTGAAAGACCTTCTCCCCTAAGCTAAAATGAAACTATGTACCCAGAGAGAAAGAAGCCTCTCCAAAGACAAACAGCTCTAAATTTAGAACATAGGGATCTTTTGATTTCCATCTCAGCTAGGACCTTCTCCCTGATGAAGAGAGGCAAATTGAAGATAATGTAGCTGGATGGGTGGGGTCATCCCCTTGATATCCTTTGGACTAAAGGCATTTCAAGTCATCGACTGGTGAGCTCACCTAGGGAGCAAAGAGATGAGGTCTGAAATGGAGCCCTTGGTCTCCAATTTTTAGAGGTCAGAAAGAGGAGGATCCAGCAAAAGCGAGTGGTTTAGATTATGATGGTGGGTGAAGGGAGGGACGAGGAGCAGAGGGTGAGGCAGATGGGCAGAAGACAGAGGGGAGATCGAGTTGTGGAAAGGCTTAGCGTTCCCCCCCCCCCCCCCGCCCAGAACCAGCCTTGGAGAGTATCAGGTGTTCTCAGGAGATTGCGTACCCCCTCGGAAATGGGCACAGGTGCGGTGTTCATCAACGTGGGTTTTTCTTGGACCTGGGGATGCACCGTGGACATCTTTCTGGCTGGATCGTGCAGCAGGTTTTTTGTGATTCCTCCCAACCCCCGATGTCCTGCGGTGACAGCAGCTGCCTTTGGTCCCAGGCCTGGCAGGAGAAAGGGCAGGCGGGAGTGCTTACTGTCAGTGACTCAGCAAATTCCCCGGGAGGCTCGCAGGGCTGGCAGAATCCAGGTGGGTGGCTGGAGGAGGCGGCAGTCAGAGCCAGCTGGGTTTGCTCCTGCCTCCAGGGTCCCCAGAACTCAGGCCACAACATGAATGTGGCATCTGAGCCTCCGCTCTCCTTCCCCCTTCCCTCATCTCCATGGGCTGGATTCTTTAAGACAGGATGGCTATCCTGGGAGAGCGCTCTGGGTTGGTCCCTTTGAGGGTGTCAGCCAGCTTGTCACCTTTGTGCAAAGCCTTCGATGACACCCCAGTGCTTCAGAGGCAAGACCAAGCTGCCTGGAGCCTTCTGCTCCCCAGTCCGCCCTCAGAGCTTTCGCTGTGCTGCCTCTTTCACGGGGCCCGGGCCCGGCCCCCACAGAACACGGCTCATTCCTGAAATGCCCTGCATGCCGTCTCCTCTTGTTTGCTCTTTCTTCTGTCTGAGGGCCACTGCCGCCAGTCCAGCAGCCCAAGCCCACCCGCTCTCCCAGCTGCTCCCCTGCTGCCCCTGCACGCCTCCCTGACAGCTCTGTCCCTGCCGTGGCCTTGAGCTCTTCAGATAAGGGCTGCATGCGTCCTAAGGGCCGGGTCGGAGTCCCCGTGCCCCGGACAGTGCCCAGGGCAGGACCCGGCATGCAGACCAGGCCCCGGGCAGGGCAGGGCACGGCAGGGCTTGACGGACCTCCAGTTCCTCATCTGTGGGAAGAGCATCATAGACCCCATTTCACAGGGTTGTTTCCGGGACAAGAAGTCACGGTTCTCAGAGGGTCTTCACCTTCTCCAGACACCCCCAACATACACGTGGTGGTGCCTGGAGTTCTGACATCTCCAGAACCTCTGAAGATCTGGTCTCCTGAGTGTTCCTTCTTTCAAACTGCTCTTCTGGGCAGTTCTGAAAGTCTGGAACTTTCCTTTCTGGAAGAACATGGTGGCCCCACTCCTCCTCATCACTAGTAAATGTGCCCAACATGGGGCTATGGACTCAACTCAGAATTACCCACCGAACAGCTGAGAGATGCCTCAATGTCCCATGACGATGGTGGTGACGGGGGCTGATACCTAACGGTCACTGAGTCTTTATTATGTGTTGGACACGATTCTAAGTTCTCTCCCTGTACTAACTCATTTAATCCTTCCAGCAACCCTTCCAATTAGATATTCCATTCTTACACCCATTTTTACTGATGTGGAAACTGAGGCTCAGAGGGGGTGAATCCAAGGGCACCACAGCTACTCTGTGGCAGAATTGGGACTCCAGCCCAGGTCTGTTGAGCTCCAATAACTATGTTTTTAACATCTGAGGTTGGCTGAAGGCTAGTGGGTAGCAAAGGAGGATGCCGGGAAGCTACCGAAAGCCTCATGGCAAGCATCCCTGCCTCAGCGCCCCTGTCCCTCTCACTGGGGTCCTGCTCCCCTCCGATCGGCAGCCCCTTCCCTCAGATCCTCTTTCCCTTGAATCCCAGTGCCCCCATCTCCTAGCTCAGCACCTCCCTAGAGGGAGCCCCAAGTCAGTCCCTGTCAGAGCCCCTCGGTGCCCAGGCCAGAGACCCCTTTGCTTCTCCATGCTGCCTGCTCAGCCTCCGCTCGCACTGGACCGGATTTTAGCTCTACTTTTGTGTGGCCGAGAGACTCAGTAAGAGATTTCTCTCGGACAGAAACGTGGCTCTCCCGGAGCCGACTTCCAGAGTTCCCCCCAGAACAGCCCATTTCCCCCGTTGCTGCACCATGCGGGCCCTGCCTCGTACCCAGCCCCAGCGGGCCGGGGTGCACAGAAGCCCGACCCCTTGACCCTGGCATGGTTCCAGAGGAGTCACAGGCATCAGCCGCCGTGGAGCGTGCTCTCCTCTGGCCTCGAGGCTGCTGACCCTGGGGAGCAGGCGGGCGGCCACCTGCAGTAGCCATCGCCCACATGGGGGCCACTGGGTGGGGGCATGGCTGCGAGCGGCCACCAGCTCGGTGCCATCACGGGCAGGTGCCCAGGGCTCGGGGATGACCGTGCAGTGGTTTTAATTGGCCCCCTCGTGCGAGCTGCCACGGCCTTGACCACAGCCCCCCCGTGATTGCGGCCCGGACCCAGGTGCATCCAGCCCATTGAACAAATGCGCTCGAAATAGGTCAGGGAGAGCCCTGGGCAGCTTCCCTTTCATGTGCCCGGCAGCGCGGGCACGTCTGGCCTTCCTTCACCAAAGGGACTTCGCTCTCCTTTCTGCATCAAAAAGATATTTCATGTTAAAATTCAACGGAGAGATGTTAACCAGCGGTCGGAATAAGACTGGTCAGAGCGCGGGCCGCTCACACAGGCTGAACTTTGCCTCGCTCTGCGGAGGGTCCGGCCCACCCCTGGCAGCGACCGACTGGCACATTTTAACAAGGCCGGGTGCAAACACCTCCCCCCTCCCCTCTTCTCCCACCAGGCCCTATGGGAGGGGCTGTGGGGGGGGCGGGCAGGGTCCTTAGCCTTCAGGGCAGGGTTCCAGCATCCTTACTGAATAAGCCAGACGCTGCATAGCTGCATTTTAGGAGCGCCTGGTCCTCTAGCAGGGCCCGGTCTCTTCTTGATTTTATGAGTTACAGCCTGTTGTCAAGAGCGGTGATTTTAGGTGGGTGGGAGGACAAGCTGAGGGTGGGGGGTGTGGGGGGGACGGGGATTTTGGCAAAATCCCTCTCATTTTACCCAGAAAACACAAGGGCGGGGTTTGGCCGGCAATGTGCAAACACATGGTGCGACTGGGCGTTAAAATTCTGCTTCTGGGGATGAGAAGCACACAGAGGCGATCAGAGTGACCAGCGCCGGCCAGGCTGTTAACAAACCCGTGAATTCTCCCGAAAGGAGAGGCGGTGTTGCCCGAAGGTTATGCACGCAGACTCTGGAGTAGGCCGCCTGAATTGAAATCCCTGTTTTGCCCAAGCTGTGTGGCCTTGGGAAAGGAGTTTAACCTCTCTGTGCCTCAGTTTCCTCCTCTGTAAAATGGGGGCGATGATAGTTCTGATCTTATAAAGCTCCTGTGAGGACAGAGCGAGTTGGCGCAAATCACCTCTAACAGCCCCCGGCGAGCAGCGAATGCCCATTGTTAATGTTATTACCAGCATCTTTTATTTTTCTGACAATGAGGATGGGGGAGACACCTGGTCGCCCTGGGAAGCTAACTTGAGAAGGTTCTTGGGAAGCTGGGGTTGGCCTGGAGTCAGATCAAGCAGGAATAGGTGTTTTTGAAGGACAGGCATCGACAGCACGCCACAGAGTCAGGCTGCTGGGTCAACGTGTGATTCATCTTTTCACATATGGCAGATACTTGCTTGGCCGTTTTAATGAGGAACTCTTTTGGAGAAAGAGCACCTGTGTGAATGTGAGGGGGGCTGGATCTTGGGGCTTACTCCCTGTCCCTGCTGTTTGAACAAAATGCAGGAGGGTTTGGGGGGGCAGTGAGGGTGGGGCTTCCCGGCTCCTGGTTACTTCCTGCCCCCCCCCCCCGGAGTCTCTGTCTGCCACGGGGCTTGTGACTCTCCCTACGGGTCTATACCCCATGGCTCTGAATCCTAGAAACCAAAGGCCAGCTTCCAGCCTTTATATGCACACACGCACACACGCACACATACATTCACACGTGCACACGCACGCACGCACGCACTCACACACACGCACACATACATTCACACGTGCACACACACACACGTGCACACATTCACACGTGCACACACACGCACTCACACACGCACACACGCATGCACGCACATACGCACGCACCGCCGGCCTCAGTCGGCAAGGTTTGAGGAGGCAGAGGGTGTGTTTGCCCTGCAGCCATTAGAACATCCAGGTCTGGATGGAACTGGATCGTCTTGCTTCCTCCACCTCCCCCCCCTCCCCCACCAGAGGTCGGCTCCTTCTATCACAGGACCATTCTGTCCTCTTTTTTTTTTTTTGCTGTAGTTTCTCCTGCAAAAAAAGGAGTGTTCTCAGGGTCTTGCCTGGTGTTCTCAGGGTCTTGCCTTCCCCCATGCAGCCCAGGGTGAGGGTGGGGGGTTCCTCATGGAGACAGTTGTATCCCTGAAGGTCAGGTCTCAGCTCCTGTGGATGCCCCGCCTCCACTGGGTACCAGGCCCAGGGGGGCCCCAGCACAGCATCACCAGGCACTTTGGGGTGGGGCTGACATCACATGAGCTGGGGGGTGTAACGGCATTCCACTGGGTCTTAACCGTGAAGCAAGTTAACATTCCTTGCCTGCTGACTTAAGGCCCTTGATCTGCAACAGAACCAATTTGCTTTCTTTGAGATTCGCACAACACTGGCCTTGGGGAATAAGGGACCAGAAAGTTCCCAGGCCCCAGAGGCCAGCAAGTCTGCTTGAAGTGCCTTGGCTCTCTGCTTAGTCCAGCAATCTTTCAGTGAAATGTTTTTCCTTTTTAAGGTCACACGAAGGACTTCACTGACCTCCCTTTGCACATGTGTAGACTTGCCCCCCTTTGCAGAGAGAACAGAATAGTCTTGCACAACCACCCCCGGGGCACCGAGGAACCAGACCTTCTTGTACCACCTCGGAGCACAGAGAGAACTCTGGAGGTGGCATCACCGAGTCTGCACGTAAGCAAGAAAAGCCACAGACCCCTGGACTCCCTTAGCTGATGAAACCCCTTTAAAAATCTCTGGGCCAGGCA